TTGAAGAACATAAGAAATATATCTATCTTATACTGCAAAAGCTTAAAGAAAATAAACTCCTTATTAACCCTAAAAAATATATGTTTTATTCTTAGAAAGTTAACTTTTTAAAATATATTATTACACCTAAAGAAATTTACATAAACCTTAATAAAGTTAAAGCAATTAATAAGTGGCCAGTACTGACTATGCTTAAAGAATTATAAGCATTCCTTAGACTTATAAATTACTACTAAAAATTCATTAAGGACTTTTTGCTAAAAGCAATCCCGCTTATTAATATAACTAAAAAGGATAAACCTTTTAAATGGGGGGAGGAATAGCAAAAAGCCTTTAAAGAATTTAAAAAGGCTATTACTTTAAAGATAATTTTTGCTATATTTAACTTAAAGAAATCTATTATAATTAAGACCGATGCATTGAATTTTGCAATTGGAGGGGTTTTAAGTTAACCAGGCGACGATGGCAAACTTAGACCTATTGCATTCTTTTTACATAAACTTAATGGACTAGTGCTACAATATCCCACCTATGATAAAGAAATATATGCTATATTGCAAGCATTTAAAGAATAGAGACATTATTGCTATAAAAGTAAACACAAGATCACTGTCTACATTAATTATAAGAATATTTTATACTTTACTACTACTAAAAAGCTCTTCAGCTAATAAGTCAGATACTTTAAATTCTTATTATAATTTAATTATAAACTTATTTATTGTAAAGGCATGGAAAATAAAAGAGCTAATGCATTAAGCAGAAGAAGTAACCATGAATAAGATATACTGGAATTTACAGCATAAGCACTATGCTATAATAATAAAAGAAATATTAAGTAAGTATATATTTATATAATGTTTAAAGTACTTAAAGAAGATCTAATGCTTAATAAAATTAAAGAATATATAAAAAATTATAAAAATGAGGAATATTTAGAAGGAGTAACTATAGAAGAAGGATACTTTAAATGTAAAGGAAAGATTTAGGTATTTAAAGAGTTAAGAAGGGATGTAGTAAAATATATTTATAAGCACCTGCTGCATAAATATAAAGGGATATAGAAAATATATAATTAAGTCCTTATATATTATAAAGTAATTGAACTTAAAGCATATGTTTAATATATTATATTATACTACAGCATATGCCAATAGATAAAAGATAAAAGACATAAACTATATAGGAAACTATAACCGCTGCTAGTAGTAGAATAACTATGGGAATTAATGACATTTAACTATATTACCGACCTACCCCTCTCTACCGAACCCTTTATAAAGGTAAAATATAATAGTATTTTTATAGTAGTCTATTGCTTTTTAAAAGAAGTATACTTCTTGCCGCATAATAAATCATATACAGCAGAAGACCTTGCTTATACCTATATAAGAATGATTGCCGTAAATTATAGACTACTAAAAGAAATAATATTGGATAGAGGATGAATATTTGCTTTTAAATTTTAGCAGGAACTTATGGCTAAATTAAAAATAAACTATAAATTAAGTACTGTATACTACCCTTAAACAGATGGATAAATAGAATGCATTAATTAGATTATTGAAGCATACTTAAAATGCTATATTAACTTTATATAAGATGATTAAGTAAAAAAATTACTAGTAGTATAATACTGTTATAATAGCATACCTTTAGAATCTATAGGAATTATACTGTTCTATGTGAACTATGGATTTACACTAGAAGCATTTAGACCACTATGAGAAGGACTTAACTCTAAAAAAGCAAGACTGCAAGCAGAATTAATAATTGATTTACATAAAGAAATGCATATGTAATTTGAATTTATCTAAGATAGAATAAGGAAATATATAGACTAAGATAGAATTGCAGGACTAATTCTTCAGAAGGGAGACATGGTTTATTTATTACAGCACTTATAAGGCTATAAATTACTGAATATTAAGACTAATAGGCTAAGTAATAAGTTAAATGTTAGAAAAATAAAACCTTATGAAATCCTTAAATAAATTAAAGAAGTTAATTATAAGCTAGTGTTGCTAGATATAATAAAGCTTTAAAGCCTAGTGTTTTATATATTATAACTGGAAAAAGCATAAGTTAATGAACTTATGGGAAGACCTATTTTAGATAAAATTATTGTTAAAGATGAAGAAGAAGAATATAAAATTGAAGAAGTACTTACTATACGCTAGAACTCTAAGACTAATGAAATAGAGTATTTTGTTAAATAAAAAGGATACTTAGAATTAGAAAACTTATGGGAACTAAAAGAATACTTTAATTCCCATAAGCCAATAAAGAAGTTCCTTTGGTCTATAAGGTTGATGGATTAAAATCAGCCAGCACAGCGTTCTAATCAATTACGTTAACACCCCCGCTAAGCTAAACATTAATCACTACCTCTGACTTAATACGCTCTGCTTTATTTAATTTATTAAGACTCTTTAGGCTGCGATTTACTATCTCTGCCCCTTAAGTCACTAAAGATTTACGTTAAGAACGGATATGCAATAACTAAGACAAGGCTTTAGCGGCTTTTTGCTGATATTTAGCAAGCTGCTCAGCAGCCTCCTTTTTTTTTAAATGCAATTGTTTATGCTTGGAAGTTATATAATTTACTATATCATTAGAACAACAAGACACTGTTATTTTAGAAAATAAACTTACAAGCTGATAATGGAACACCCATCCTGTTATAAGAATGACTGCAATGTATATACTCCTTGTAATGCATTACACCATCCATTATTTTGCAACGGTTGCCCATGTCATGATGTTTATAGAAAGAACAAGCCATTACAAGAAATCCCAATTCTTTAATAGTAGCGGCTAAAGAAAGGCGCTTGTGTATTTTCCAGAATACTGGTTTAGACATATGGTTAGGCATTATGAAAATTACAAAAGGAGTCTGAAAGAAAAATCACCTTAGCAAGCTAATGCAAGAAGGGCCTCTTTATAGGCCTTGAGGATAAGATCAATGAAGAGGGGGCATTGTATTACGACCTAAATATTTATTCATACATTAGCTAAGCAAAAGTATATACTCTAGGAGTAACTACAGACCGACAGACCAATTACAAAAGGATTACAGTTTACAGACATCCCTGTTGGATCACTAAGTGAGCTATCGTAAGCCTATGCAAGAGTGATCTAACCATAAGCCATCTGGAACGACTTACTATATAAGAACCGTTTATTACGCTTATTAGATAGAACTTAGATAGTCAGTCGTTAATATAGCACTCTTAGATAACAATTAGATTGGTTATTTATAACCTTGTTAGCTATGTGACTGCATTGCTTATAAGACTCCAACTCATCTCTCTGCCAACATAAACCCGACGTTGAGTTTATAGATTGGGAACCTACCCTATACCTAAGTACGATAGTATAGGCCAGGACGTCATAAATTACTTAAAAAATCTAAAGTATTTTTTTAAATAAAAGTTATTACTATATAATATTCTAGTTTTATACCTAATATAAAATAACTAATTTCTAAAGAATAAATATTTAATATTAGGTTTATATTAATAAAAAAAATATAAAGAGTTTTATAAATAATTTTAGTTATATAGCTAATAACTTTAAATAAAAATCCAATCTAGTTATTATATAAATACTATATTAACAATTAATTATTTAAGCTATATTTAATAAATATAATAAACAGTCTTATATAATAAATTATTTTATAAAGCTTATAATTCTAATTATAATCCTTTTATAATAGCTTACTTTTATAATAGTAATCTATTTAAAATAGCTTACTTTTAAAGCTATAATCCTTCTTTAATTAGCCTATTAATCTATAATATATCTGAAGTATATATTTTATAATTTCAGGTTATAATAAATAGTATTATAATAATAATTATTAATTAAAATTAAAAATACTTTTTAATCTATAAGTATAAAACTATATTAATAACTGGCAATTTAAATTATTTAAATAAGCATAAGAAATAAACTTATATATTTAATTAATTAAATATCTTTAATATACTTAATAATTAAATTTATTAAGTTATATTTAATATACTTAATAATAAATTTTATTAAGTAATATATAATTAATTACTAGGTTATAGTTAATTTATTTATGCTTATTCAATAGGCCTATTATTGCAACCTTAAGTATTGGGTTGTAATATTAACTTTAACTTATACTAATAGTTTTTACTTTAAAGTTAAGGTTAGTGTAACGATCCGTTATACCGTTAAGCCAACAGGGCAAAAGATTAGGCCAATAACCACTATTGTAGCAGTTACTGTAACGGAACCAGCTGCTTATAAGGGATCTATCTGTTACAGTAAACCAGGTTGTAACAGTTAGCTAATAAAAATAATTATTTTAAGTTATATTATTTAACTTTATATAGTTTATATATATTAGTAGTTTACTAGTAATTATTATATTATTATAGTTAAATAACAGGTAAATTAATTAACAGGCTTAAACTATTAAATTATAACTTCCCGGGCTTATAACTATTAAAATAATAAACAGGCCCCGCTCTTACCAAATAAAGTTATTATTTTTATATAAGATTTCTATTCTAATATATACAGGCATTTGAAAGTAATATTATTTAGTTATTTAGGGTAGAATTTTATATGTGGGCAGGCGGATTTACAACTAACCCCCTAGAACAATTCACATAGCATGTCGCGAGTCAGGTCAGTCTAAGACTCAAAATGGCAGCCTGGCCGAGGCTAGGAACATGCACCGCGGCCAACGCTTTTCGACGCCAGCATATTTAACCAATCGCCTGACATTAATAGTCATCCCCCGCTCTTCAGCCCCGCCATTATTTTATCTCAGTAGTCTTTGAATCACATAGCCCCATCCGTGAGGAACGGGCCGTGGCACGCTTCGCAACTATCTTACAATTCAGTCGCCAAAGGTAAGGGCGCACCAATAGTGCTAGTACCCCCTTGACTTAAACCTTCTTACAATTCAGTCCAACTCACCTTCACTCCTCCTGCACAACATAACGAACATATCCATAATGGCTCACTCTAGTACCCCGGATCTCGTTCCTGAGCCTGTCTCTAAGCTCCCTGAGCGACCCAAGACTGATGGATCTGCCTTGAACGAGGACGAGCGCTCCGAGATCGCCTTTGTCGACAAATACAGCGCCCCCGATGTCTATATCAACGAGAAGAACGATACTCTATGGTTCCCATGGATCGGCCCTATCGAGTTGAAGCCCATGCGCATGGAGAACAGGACCGGTACCTTCGTTGTCGGGCTACGATCAAAGGTGGCTGCCAGCTTGGGCAAGCACCGACACCGTGGAACCGTTACTGCTATCACCATGTCAGGAGAATGGGGCTATAAGGAGTATGTTGATCCCAATTCTTGTATATTGCGACTTTGCTCATCGGTCTATTTGTAGATACGACTGGGTTGCTCGACCAGGAGACTGGGTATGCGAAAATCCTGGCGTTATTCATACCCTGTCCGTCAAGGACAGCACCGACATTGTGTTTACTGTTACTGGTAGCATTGAATTCCTCAACGATGATGATAGCTTGAAGTTTACACTAGATATATTTAGCTTTGCTAAGCTGTATTACGATCACTGTAAGGAGAAGGGTATCAAGCCGAATGATGCTCTGTGGCATTAAATATATATAATGTATATGTTCACGGCCGGCGGCGGATGAGTGTGATTTGCAAAGGGCCCGGTCCATTCGCGAATACGAACTAATAGCGGTGTGTACCGAAACTAGTCCACTGATTCAGCTTCTACTTCTCTTCTCTATCCATTACTTCCACCAAAATGCCAAGATGGAACCGGCAATTGCCCTCGTTCATCCATTTCCAAATGATGTACGCCATGCATTTCAGTCCTACATATAAAGCCCAGCGTACACCTTCCCATTCCTGTAACCAAGGTAAATTTTCTTAGGTGCAGCATATATTAGAAGGAGCTAACTCCCGAAACTGGTTACCGCTAGATAACGGTTAATGAGTGGTGTAACCAGCATAAAAATGTGGTCGATATACCATTACTGTAAATGCGCTGGAGAGGTTTGACGGCGGCCAGCTTTAAAAGGATAGTTGGGTTTGGCCGGTCCTGCTGCCAAGGGGCGGCTCTACATGAGCGTTCTGGGAACAAATGGCGTGGGCAGGGACCAGGCGGCGCCGGACGGTTTCCAACATTCTTCGCTACAGTTCACTGGTGGAGCGGCTGGCGTATGCAGCACTGCTGGCCTCGTCTCCCGTCAGAAGATCGTCGATGATCGGACCATTCAGGCAGTCGAGCTCCTTGGGTTGGTTTATTGCGTATTCAAGAATCCCCCGCTCTAGTTCAATAGACATTCCCATAACTTCGGCCGCGGCGGCGCTGCTGTATACATCCCTTAATGCCGGCTCTAAGTCTCTACAAAGGGGAGGCTTGTTATTGCTACTGTATTTAATATCAGTTGGGCAGGGGTTTGCCCAGGCTACGACATGGCTTATAATATAGCTAAGCGCCTTCCCATCTGTCTTCCTGATATCAAGAGTTACTTTAAGAGAGACAAAGGGAAGGCAGCAGTCTTTTTAATATACTCTACCAGCTGACTAATCTCAATATTAATTTTTTAAAAGTTTAAAATTATTTTTAACTATAATTAATTTAAATAAAATATATTAATTATATAATAGTTATAAAATATTAAATTATTATATATTATTTATAAATTTTAAATATATTTAATTTACTATTATAGTTAAATAACTAGTAAATTAATAAATAAATATTTTAATATAGTAGGCTTACTTTAATAGTATTTTTCTTAAAAGTAAGTTACTTTCCTAGGTTATAATTAGCTATTAGTTCTAAGATTTTACTAGAGTTATATATTTTAAAAGTTTTATATAGTTTGTTTATAACAACTATAATTTTTAAATTAAAGATAATTACCATAAGACAAGGAGCAAAATAATATTTTAATTATGCCCTTGCTGTTTTTATTCTTTCTTTTTTCTATTTCTCTACTACAAGGCTTTTATACTAGCCTATTACTCCATTAACCAAAAAGTTCTTGTTATATATTTAACCACATATCTGTTTCACAAGGGAAGTAGATATAGCAATATCGCCAGAGCTGCAGGTAGAGATAACACATGAAACAACAGGCCCTTGGATTTTCGAAATTTGATTGCACAAGCAACCATAGTTATTAGCAGAACAACCAACTGTAGGTGCAGCTTTATTAAGGCATGATTGCTAGATAATTGTAATATATTTAGTCTATGTTATTACAAGTAATATAGGAGACTGACTTACAGCGCATTGAGGTATGCTAGCTATATTAGCAGCAACACCTGTGGCAAAAAGAAGAAATAAGTTTGCTTTCATTGTATTTTTGAAAACAGGAAGGGCGTTAAGTTTGCGTTCGAAACCCTTATCTGGTAATTGAAGAGAAATTGAATATGGGATTTACATTGGACAAAAGCTTGTATTTATAGCAAATTGCAATTGGAAGAGTATTATAAAGTACTCCCTTTTAATTATAATATGAATCAGTCCATGTGGACAAATAATTTTAATCTTGAGACTAGTAACTCTGATATTATAATAGTAAGGCTATTGGGCAGATACATGTCTCAGTTCAATTGTATTTTATAATTTAATTAAGACATTTTAATTAAAACAAATTAACCAAGTAGAACTTAATAACTTAGCAATGTAAGACAATAATGGATTGTAAGTTATATTGCTTAAAGTTGTTTTGAAACATATTGCTCTATGTCTGCAATAGTTAGACAATTACTGTATTATATTCAACCGAAGTATTTATGAATCTCAGTTTATTTATTAGAATATATATTACCCTGAATAATTTCAAATATAGCAGCAATTCAGCGCCTGCTATTAATATTACAGTAATAGTATATCTTCTATTTCAGAAAACTCCAGGGCATAAAACCTATTGCTTAGCCATGCTAAAAATCCAAGTCAGCCTGAAGAACATTCTTATCTTTGCTTTTTAATTAATTTACATAGGTTAATGTTTAGCAGTAATAATATTAATAAATCTGTAAAGGTAATGTATAGAATTCGAGTAAGTTAGGGTTTTATAATATTTTGCTTATATACTATAACTGTAAGCCTCGGCTCCTCTATAAGTAACATTTGAGTATGTTAATTGGTATATAATTGATTTAGGGATTATTACAAGATATATTGCGTTACCAGCTCGAAGTGTTATAGTTGGCTGGTTAAGTAAATCCTGACTAATTTTTAGCTAAAAGCCATGTGTGATAACACAGAGGTGGCTATAGTGTACTTATCCTTATTTTGGAAATTCCAAAGTGGATTCGGGATCCCTATTCTGCTGTAGTGTCTGTGTCACACGGTACCTATTTGAGTATGCATTAAATTCTACCATTCATATCTCAGTTTATGTTGAAACCCACCCTAGGTAAATACATGGATGATTTAATTACTCCTGTGTGTAAACATCAGACGGGTTTTCTTGAGTGTTAATGTAACAGTATAACCCATCCGAAGTTTTGGCTCCCTATTGCTATCTGTTTCTAAAACCATGTCAAAAAATATCCAGAATGATTTCTTTATACAAGTTATATCAATCTTACCATTCATGCAAGATTCGATGCTGTCGAATTGTTGCATCAAACGTACTAGCCAAATGGATGTAGTAAGTCGACCGATACGTGCTGTGCGTTGAATTAGCCAAGAATTAAAAGACCAAGATTAATTTCCTTGACTCAGCAGATAAACTCACAACCTGGGCAAGTGGAGGGGCCATAGGCAAATGGAAGAAACGTTTTTGAATTCTCTTCGTTCCACCTCTCTGGTACAAAATTGTTAGAATCCGGGCCCCATACGTCCTGACGCCTGTGGAGGTGCGTATACGAGGCGATTATCTGTTGACCTTTGCGCACTATCACAGGCTGCGAGTGATTGGGACCTCCTCCGGCGGGCAGAGTACAGTCCCGTAATGCAATTCTCGTAGTCAACGACACGACAGGATGAAGTCGTAGTGCCTCGTTGATAATCCACTGTAAATACTGGCACTGAAGTAGTGCTTGTTCTGTAATGCTCTCAGTAGAAGGGAATGTACTGCGCACAATTCTTCGAAGCTTGTCCTGAGCGGCTTGATTTTGGGCAAGTAGAGCTAAGCCGATTTGCATACTCCCAAGTGTTCCTTGAGTTGCTGCTGCGTAAAAATTGAATAGCTGATCTGACGTAATGGTTTCCTGTTGAAAGTGATTTGCGAAGGTAGAACCTAGACTATGGGTGGCTTGATCTTTATTTTGTAATCCAACCATTCCGGCCATTGATAGAAATAGTTTGCGAGTTATCTGTTTCTTTTTGGCAATAGATGGAAAAAGAAGAGAAACAATATAAGGAGGCATGAACACGGTCATCCCAAGGCCAGACAACAATGGCCTAAAAAAAGATATAAAATGAGATATAAATGCGGGTCGAGCATCGGAATTTCCAACCAATTCGAGCTCCTTTTCTTCACCTAAGGCCATGTAGTTGATAAAGTGTATAACAATCTGATTGCTTAACTCAGTTATCTCGATCTCCTTCTTTTTCGAAACTGGAAAAGACTCGTTGCAGATATCAGCAAGAGATTGAATGATAAGATGATCTATTTTGGCCGAGAGGTCTTTTATATTCTTCGCAATGTAGCCGACTACCAACCTGTGCATGTCGAAGTGCCGGTCATTGCTAAAGGGGTGCCAGTTGATCTCTGACAATCCTCGTTGTCGCATTTCAGTAGTATCAAAATAACCATGTCGATTTGTTAGAAGCTCCTTTATGTTGAGAGGATTTGAGGTGAATAGTATCTCCTTATTCAGATACCTGGTTGCAAATGTGTCTCCGTACATGTCGTGCCGAGAGGGTAGTGTTGTTATTGGAAACAGTTGTTTTGGGTTAAATAACGCAGAGAGGTCCCTCCAGCCAAAGATTCCATGAGAGGGAGTTAATTTCGGGGCCACAGCACCATGAAGCTTACTTTCGGCATATTTGAAGGAATTTTCGGCATATATGGCATTAAAAAATGATTTTGCTAGCAGAAGTGCGGTTGCAAGACCAAAAATGAGTTGGAGAGTGGACCACTCCTGTAAAGTAAAGATATCTTGAAGCATGGTTCTTTCTATTTTTTTTGGCAGTGTCTTTGAAGAATACCACGCCGGCAATAGGTCAACCATTACAAGAGGTTATTCTTACAGAACACGTTAGATGACAGTTTTATAATATATGTAAGGACAAGACATTGCGAACTAAGGTAAGCAAACGCTGATGAAATCCATTCCCCTATAGATGCCGAATTCTCTCCAGCCCCTGAGCTGGGAGGCGAGGAGTGAAACATTGATGAGGTTGGGCTCTATGCGATGTTTGATTCACAGAATTTTGTCCTATTCAAACGCAAAACAGGGGACCGCAGTGACTCAGATAAATAAAAACTGAGAGACAGGTAATTTCGATAATTTTTCAGTATAATAAATAGATCAGGTTTGTTAGATATCTTCCTGATGCATACTCTGTACTACTTATGCTTACATTGAGCCCTTAGAACATGCTGTTTGCGTGTTGAATTTGCTGCCCTTGAATTATATTGTAATAGTGCGTATGTAAAGCCGTGGTTAGCTTATTCTGGATGCGTGCGGCAGGCTCAAAAAACATCATGCTATAGACCATTAAAATAATAAGATATGTACGAAAGACCTTACATGTAACTCGTGTGAGACTAGTAAAGAATAGTTTCCGCAGTCTCATTAGACAAGAATCGAAAGAAGGGCCGATATTCCAATCCAACTTGATGCATCCCTCCCCTGTCCCGAGATCCCCCAAAGTGGAGAGAAAAAGGAACAGATAGGTTACTCCCTGAGAAGGGAGGACGAACTGTTTGGCAAGTAGAGTGGGGTCTTGCCAATCTTAGAAAGGACTAGTGTTTTCAGCGAGATTGATACCCGTAATTTCTGTGTAATGTATTGCCATTCGTGTTTCACAATCATTTCCATCATTCATGACGCTCATTCAGACCGTGGTCCCGTGCATCAACCTTACCATTGATCTAAAAACTGTCGTCTCCTTAACGTATTTAAATATATTAGAAGATTGCAATGGTGTTGTTGAAACTATCGAGCCGAATTACATACCCTCATAAATCGAGAGCAAACTTGCATTCGTATCCGGAGTCCTAACCAACCTCATATCTCTTGTCAATCGTCATGTACCGAGACGCATTTCAGATTCTTTGTCCCATCGGGACAACGTCAGTTGTGATTTCTTTCTACGAGTTAACTTGTAATTCATTTTTACGAAAATGCCTTTCCCAAATCCTTGCAGTAGCTATCACGACTTGGTTTACTTTTACGGCAGCTTGGTCTAATCCGTCTCTGGCCTTCCTTGCCGGATTTTGGTCATCATGGAACCTTATATGGCTGTGGCATTGGATTTTTGCTCGCGACCCGCGTTCAGTTTGGCGTGTGATGTATACAAATGGAACCGAGACCAAGGAACATTTTCCAAATACGATTGGCTTCAAAAGATGGATGTGGGCGTTGGACCTCTCTCTAAACTATCGTGGCGTGGGATGGAGTTTTTATGTTCCTCGGGATCGACTTCAAAAGGGGAAGCCTAAAATTCACATCGAACCCCCAAGCGGCATTGCAAAATACAACATAGGCTTCGCGATACAGAGGTTTTCTAAAGGCATAATTCTCTTGCACCTATGGCGCATTCTTTCCTATAACTTAGAACATGTTTTTAATGTCGCTTGGCCAACAAATCAGACGCATAGTTCCGGGAAGCTACTGGTTGGATTCACCGGTCTAGCATTAGTTGTGCACGCAATGGTTGTAGCCGGCGGTTTAGAGTTACACTATGGCATCATAGCGATGATTAGGGGACTCGCACACAGTAAAGCACCTCCTGTATGGCCAGCTCTTTTTGGAAATTTCTACGACCTTGGGCTCTTTGATATCGCAAGTAAGCCAATATCCGATTACATATCCATAATTTCGACTTATCTTTGGATGTAACTAACCGCTGAGTAAATTGAAAGGGTTCTGGGGCGTTTTCTGGCATGATCTGCTAAGATTTGGGCTTAAAAGTTCTTCAGATTACTTGACAGCATACTGGTTTGGCAAGACTCAATTCATGCTGTCGATATTATTGTCGTTTTCCCTCTCGGCGGTGGTGCATTTCTCAGCAATCTGGTTGAGTACAAGAAGCGTACCGAGGGCTTTGCAAGCTGCCACTATCCTAACAATGCAACCGGTGGGCATAATGATACAAAAATTGCTGAAGAGGGCGCTGCAGCAATACTCTCTACAAATATCTCAAGTATGGTCTATTGGATTTGGACTTCTGTTGTTATCCTGGACTTTCGAACTCAATTCGTTATTTCCAGTCGTCCTATAATGTCTAGTCGATTCGCTCAATGCAAGCTGAAACTGATATCAACCTATAACAGATAAATACAGAATTACAGATAGATTCATTTAAAAATCAATTCTATGTACTAGAAGGAAGGGATCAGCTACGCAAATTGCATACATAAACATGGTATTGGAATGGGAAAAGACTTGATCGACCATGTTCGCCAAATATACAACTATCGTTAAATTCCCAAGACTAAGAATAACCCTGTCACCAAAAGCAACTTTTCCGGGGCTGTGTGTGGCGCAGCGGTCAACCACACTGGTGACCTAGAGAGAAGGTCGTAGGTCCGAGTCCTACCATCCTCGCTGAAATTAACCCGCAAAAACAAGCTTCTGCTTGTGACGACATAACGCTTGAAGGCTCTCTCTCAGCCTTTCAGCAGGTAGCTATTACAGCTAAAAACTACTTAGGTTTTTTCCCCTTCTTGAGGGTTTTTTTCTCTTTATATTAGCTTGCTAATATAAAAATTTTATATTTTCCTTTATCATAAGAAACGTAGCGAACAGGGGTCAACGCCTCCGGCTATTAGTTGATAAGCTTGCTGTCTAGCTAGGCCTGTCTCGAAGGAACAAGATCACATGGAGGTGATTAAGACGGAAACTGGCTCCTACCGACCTATTGCCCATTATAGGACGTGTGTATTTAGTTAACTAGATACTTATGGTCGTTAATATTTAAACAAACAAACAAACAAACAAACTTTTCCAAACATGATTAATTAATATGAAAAAAAGAAAAATAAAAATTTCTTTCATCGGGTGCTATCGCGCAATATAGGACAAAATTCTTAAGTATTCTCAGGCTATAGGAGTTTAGCTATGCATGTCAGCGCTGAAGATGGAGAGATAGATAGTTCTTTAGAAAGCTTGGAAAAGTGGATGGTACATTGGGCAAGGAAGCTGCTATAGCAGGAAAGTTTCTGGTTGACATTGAACTAAAAAGGGCAAAGATACTAAGCTAAAATAACCCCAAAATCTTTATGTGACTGCACAGAGGTCGGCCCATGGCCCATATAATCAGAACCCCTTTGTGAAATTTTAGTGAAGCACCTTGCTTTTCAATTTCAGAATCATCCATGATGCCAATCGATAACCTAAAATAATAGCCATTATAACACCTACTTTGCTCCTCAATTGTCTTGCTTGGTTGAAACCGTACTCATGTAATATCCCGCTGCCAGCAATCTGGCAGTCCTTTGCTAATGGAGAGTCATATAAACAACGACAATTTTCGTCACAGCTGTAAATCGCATTGCTGAATTGATTGACCATTAATCCTTCGAACGAGTACGCAAGAAAGTCCCAATAATGAAGCCCATACTTGTAAAATGCGTTTAATTTTGAGATTGGGATAAAAAACCCTTGGGCACACAGTAGCAGACTGTTGAGAAACGAAGCCATACCTATCGTGAAGATAAAGTTGGGAAATATGGAAATTACAAATACCACAAGAGCTTCGGCAGCCAGTGTTGTAAGAAAAATCCACATAACCCATGTGAAAAAGGCGGTAGCCGAGGATGCCAAGTTGGATAACCAATAACAGGTGATTGAAAATACAAAACTTAGGAAAATATTATATAATATACCGACGATAAAGTTCGAAAGCAGGAATTCGGTAACGCCATATAGATCGTTGCGAAAGTCCACTATGTATTGTGCGTGATCCTCGAGGAACGCAGGTGCAGAAATAATTGCCGACAGTGACATGAAGCATGGTATAAAGTAGAGCTCCGTGGTTAGGGTCTGAATCGAGTCTTGGTGGTGATCGAGGCGTAGCCATACTGTGCCGGTTAATATAGCAAAGCCAATGGCAAATCCGAGCCGAATTGCACAGGCCATTGGATCTCGATAGGACTTGATGAAGCTCCGATGCAATAGCGTAACTATTTTATCGAGCTTGCTAGGTCTCAGCCCCATCTGTATATTCAGATTTTCATCTTCGAGATCATGGCGTTCAATTATGGCGTGGAGGTTTTTAGCGCTAGTAGACTTTTGCCATAAGCACTGAAGCTCATCAAGCTTTTGGATTGCAGCGGCTTTATCTCGAGAGAAGTCAATATTCACGAGCTCCAAGATAAAATCAGCAGGGTTAACTCGGTGAGGGATTTCAATGCCAATATCACTATAATACTGAATTACATTGGCCACAGCACCAAAAAAGTGAGGTTTCCCGGCTGAAAGCAATAGGAGCTTATTGAAAATGTTGAAAGTTGAGGTAGCAGGCTGGTGGATAGAGCAGATAATAATCATGTTATTCTGCTGCGCCAATTTTTTCAAATAATAAATTACTTCATAACTGGCGGCAGAGTCAAGGCCCGAAGTAGGTTCGTCGAGGAATAGAATTTTGGGCAATGCTATAAGCTGCCTTGCCACCATTAAGCGTCTCTTTTGGCCATCTGAAATCCCCTGCCGCATCGGTGTGCCAATTATTGTAGCTTCCTGGTTAACAAGGCCAAGTGATTCAATATGAGTCTTGATTTGAGTTAGGCGGTCATCTGCGGTTAATCTAGTACATTGGTTAGTTTATAAGTCCTGTAATACTCACACAAGTATGTGCAAGATAATCGATGTCACCACTCACCCTGAACAAGCAAGTCTTGAGGTAAACCATAGGGTCTCGGATACAGTAAGAGATCCAGTGAGCGCTTCTTCTTGTTCAACAAAACGGCTAATTTGACGAAAATTGCACCGTGACATGGGATTTCCATTGACAAGGATATTACCCTCAACCTTCATCCCTCTACTGGGTCTTCGGGCTAGGACGTTCAACAAGGTTGTTTTCCCGCCGCCTGAAGGTCCCATCAATGCACAGAGCTCTCCTGTTGGTGCGGCGATTAGCCAATTTCCAAAACCCATTTTAACCATGTAATGGATTCCACTTACCAGCTTCTACAATTCCTTCAACATTTTGGAGAATGGTTCTTGTTTGTCCAAGCTTGCGATCGCTGACCGTGACTGTAACACCTTGCCAGCTGATGTTGCGAACAGTGGTATTCAAGAACTGTTTGGAAGTAGGGGACTGCCGCTCGATATCCATGCTTTGTGGCTGGTTTTAGAGGCTCAGATGGATTAGCAGTTGTGCAATATCGTTATGCTGCTGTTGATGAATTTGATTTCAAATATTCTAGAAAAAATAGCAATAACATGCTCGAATGCTTTAGTGACATAGAAATAGCGCTTAAATTATCAGCGAGGCCTATTCAATATGGTTCTTCATGTCATTTAAGGGGTGCTGCTTCTTCATGTGGAACATATATGTAATCGTGCAACATCCCCCCGGTTTCTTTAAATTTGATGCGCCCTCGGCTGTTGTATTGCAACCAAGCTTTCAGACATGTTCCGAGTATAAATGAGGTGTCTAAGAGAATCCTGACACCTGACTCAGACAATGTCAAAAGACTGTATTATAAATGGGGCAGGAAATCGTCAGCCACTTTACAAAAGCCAAATAGCCTTGCCTTAATCTTGGCAACTTTAATAGACCCTTTACTAATTATTCACAAGATATCTTTTCATAGTACAAAATAGTACATTCAAAATCGACAATGGAACAGGTTTAATAACAAAAAGCTTCAGGCCCATATTATAGGATTTTAGATTCTAGATTGTTTGCCCCTTATAATGCCACAGTTAAGCATGGCATCTTCAGTATGGCTGTTGTTAATCTAAGTACTTCATAAAATTAATCTGAGTATGTTTGAGACACATTTCAGAACTATCAAAATGGCTTAGCGTAGAATGGAAATTCGGTCCATGTTAAGAATCAGCTTCGGGTTATTTCAGGCAGCTAAAACCGATCGGGTGTTTCAATTCCGACAAAAGGAATTAAATAGATGGAAGCATAGAATCGCATTAAAAACATGCAATTAGGGGAAGTTAAGATTAGATTGTCAAAGTGAATTTCTCGGGGCACTTTATAAATACAAGCCACCATTCAAAATATTCAGTCTGGCATTTTAGTGTTCTATCATATCATTATTGTTCTTACCAAACTTTGAATCGTGTTATAGTACTTATTATCCAAGCTGAAATGACCAAAGAAGTCATGCATGATGTCCTTGACAGTTGGACTGTGGATGAGGAAAACATGTTAAAAGAGTCATGGAATTATCTGCTTCAGCTTTCTGGAGACGACAGCAAGCAGGAGCTCAACAAGGGCTTGTGGGACTTCATGGCGGCTGATCATCCTGATGTTACTATTATTCGCTTTCTCCGTGCCAAGAGATGGGACAAGAAAATGGCCATGGCCATGCTCATATCAACCATCCAGTGGCGCAAGGGGCAAGAAATCAACGGCATTGTCCAAATAGGCGAAAACGTTGGATTAAAATCCTGTCCTTCCGCGGATGAGAAAGATTTTATGATGCATCATCGGTCTGGCAAGAGTTACATCCGCGGGATAGATAGAGATGGCCGTCCGATTTATATTATCAGGGCTAGACTGCACAATCCCAGCTCGCAATCGACCAGGTCAATGGAGATGTTCGTTTTACATACCATTGAAAATCTCAGAATCATGCTAAAAGCACCGAACGATACGTCTTGTTTTATTTTTGATCTCACTGGATTTGGCGTCCGAAATATAGATTTGCACATCATTAAATTCTTTATTGATGTTTTTGAATCTAAATACCCTGGGATTTTGGGGGTAGTGCTTATCCACAACGCGCCATTCATCTTCTGGAGTATGCTCCTACTTTCTTTCTGGCTTTTCTTGTCTAATACGTACGCAGGTATCTGGAAAGCTATTAAAGCATGGTTAGGCCCGGGAATCGCGTCAAAAATACACTTTACAAACAGCTATAACGATCTTATACGTTTTATCTCGCCAGAGAACCTGCAAACGTACTACGGTGGTATGGACAGTTGGGAGTATACTTATATTGAACCAGTACCAAGAATGGATAATCGACTACAGCCAGACGACAGCGCCGAGCTCAATAGAGAGAGAAGCCAGCTCATTCACCAGTTCGAAGCGCTGACCGACGAGTGGATACGACTAGATCCTGGTTCGGCTGCAACAATTGAAATAGCAAGACAAAGATATGATTTAGTAAAAAGATTGCATCAAAACTACTGGAAACTAGACCACTACACCAGAGCAACAACATATTACCATCGAACAGGTGTGATTGGCGTGACTGGTGAGGTGGATTTCAGCGCGGCAAAATAGAGAAGACGGCTAGTTGAATGTGTTGCCTTGCATCATAAGTAGATAGCAACTCTAGCCCTATTTAAAGCTACCTATCCTAGACTTCTCTAAACAAACCAATCGACAAAGGACTGCTTGGCCATAGACCAACATCAATCCAAAACCACAGCTTACATCAGTCTCACACAATACAATCTTCGCCTACAAGCCACTACAAATGGCGAAAAGTATGAATTATAACGTCGGGAAATTGGCGGCCATTAGGACTGTAGCTTTCTAGTTTTCATCCAGCCACGCCTCAAGTTTTGGCTCGATTGGATCTCGCCAATTAGATCTTGGCTTGATGTCCATTACTGAAATAAGAAAAAAGTGTAAGGGCCGAAATGAATGAATGAATGTACTTAGTGTACGATTCGCCCAAGACTAACACAGACTCAGGCAAGCCACGTATATCAGGCATATTAACTAAGCGCTGATCCTAGGTAGAGATCCACTGAGGTTGCGCTTAAAGAAATTACATAATGCATAAGAAGCTGTTATACGTCGATACTTATCGCCAGAGGCAAGCTTTTAGAGGACGGGTTCCAAAAGTCTATTTTTTTTTCCAAGGTTGCGGTGAACAGACTTCTTTGCCTACACTGTTCTATCTATAAAATATTTATATAACAACGCTTTGTGATTCAAGAAATGCAATTCCTAAGACCAGAACTTAGTACAGCATCTTGGCGTACCTGCCTACATAAATCAAGCCTATTGTTTTTCTATCATTTGGGACATTAATTTCCATCGTCAGAATTAGCGCTGGATTCGGAGCCGATTTCCGCTGGGCCCATAATATGTCAATCAACAAAGAAATAAGACTTATTTCGGTAAGAATTATATAGAGAAAGTATGTCTTACAATAGAATTATTGTAAGACCTAAAACTGAATCTAGTATTCCTATTTTGCATAGTTTCAGTAAAGATCAAGACAAGTCTTGTAGTCTCGGCGTAATTACACCCCAATGTAAAGTTCTAAGACAGCTTCTTACTATTTGAATCTGGAGTAATAGAAATCCAGGTTCGAAAATTTCTAACTCAGACATATAAAGGGGATCCAACTTAACTTTAAAGGGAGTTAATACCTTGTCCTACTATGATTATTTGAAATCAAGATAGCACTTAAACATGCTAGCCGGGTTGAGTATAGACCTGAGCCTCTGGGGGGCAGTGACATATTAATACCCCACAACCTTTCAAAAGCACCAAATTAACTTAAGACATGAGTGCCCATCGTCCAATTTGCAGTATTTGATATAGATCCACAATTAATTTATATTTCTGCTGTTAATCAGCGCTTACCTTAAAACCTACCATCTTCCTGGCATGAATTTGTTTTGTTACCTTGCTTAAGAACAGTTACATGCAACCTTCATACCTAACCTTTCCTTACAGTTCTATTGATAATATCTATTATTACTCTTCCAGACCTAACGCCTGCCTATCATGGCTTTGATTGAATACACAAGTCTTGTAACGCTAGATCGGCCGTTTGGTATTCACTGGTGGTCAATACTAAATAAGGCCTTCACTATTATTGTAGGATCACCGGCAACCGATTTCGAGTTTATACCACACAAAACTACATTATCCACTATTAAAGAATCATCTACCCTGATTGCGCTTTACATTGCAGTCATTGTTGGTGGCCAGGAGCTTATGCGGAATCGGCCAGCCTTTAAACTGAAATCAGCGTTCTTGCTCCACAATTTGTTCTTGACCATCGCCAGTCTAGTTCTACTGGTGCTCTTTCTAGAGCAGATAGTGCCGACTGTTGCTCGTCATGGATTTTTTTATTCTATCTGCCGCGTTGACGGTGGTTGGACTCAACGTCTCGAGGTTATTTACTATGTAAGTATGAAACAGCCAAATGAGTTTAGATCCGCTACTAATTTTGACTAAATAGCTAACCTATCTCTCAAAATATATTGAACTTTTGGATACTTGTTTCTTAATGTTAAAGAAAAAACCACTAAGTGAGTTATGGGAATCTTGTGCCGAAATAATATTCTTACACCCAATAGCTTTCTTACATTGTTACCACCACGCTGCAACTGCAATATTCACTCTCATGGGTATGAAGAGCGCTACTCCAGTCAGCTGGGTAGTCGCTAGTCTTAATCTTGCCGTGCATATTATAATGTACTGGTATTATTTCCAAAGTGCTCGTGGCATACGCGTTTGGTGGAAAGAATGGATTACTAGACTCCAGATCCTTCAATTTATTATTGACCTCGGTACTTGCCAAAGCTTACTCTCTTATTGTAACTGGCTAACTAGACACCTAGGTTTTGTCGTTTTTGTCAGCTACTCTTATTACACTGCCCTCTACTTGCCTTGGATGCCTAGAGTTGGCAGTTGTGTTGCTGATAGTCAAATTGCTATAGCTGCATTTACGATCCTAACATCCTACCTTGTTCTTTTTACATTGTTTTATAAAGCTACATATAAAACAAATGGAAAATCTTACATGCGGTATAAGTCTTTAGAACAAAAGAAAAAGGTTACTTTACCTTTATGCACTATAATAGATTAGTCAAGCAGGTTGCTTTATTAACAAGCCGGGAATGTATAACATTCTAGTTTATACTATCTATACAATCAGGGTTGCAATAGCAGTTAGTAGCTTTTTGGTTTTTATTTTGTTTAAACAAAACTATTTGTTTTTTGTTAATTAAAAAAACTATTTTGTTTTATTTAGTTAATAAAATAAAAAAAATTGGTTTTTATTTTATTCTTAGTAATTAATTTATAACCTTGTATATAGTAGGTATAGGGTAGGTTTTTAATTTATGAACTAAACAATTGGTTTATATTAGTAAAAAAATATATATAAGATTTTTTAACTAGTTTTACTTATATAGCTTATAGTCTTTAAATAAAAGTTTAATTTAGTTATTTTATAATTTTATAAATAAATATATTAAAATCTTTTAAATTATATATTTAAAAATAGGATTATATAAGGAATACCCTAATCCTAAGGTATAAAATAAAATATAAAATGCTAAACTATATTAATATATATTTTAACAATATTTAATTTTCCTTTATTTTCAATCCCTTTGATCTTTCTTATTATATTGTAACTAATAGTAAACAACCCAGGGTCCTTGTCCCCAAGGTTCGTGTATGCACTGACATCTTTATTATCTATTTTTTTTTTATCGTTATGGAAGAGTCAGTCCACAATCAACTTCGCATTCCCAAACGCAACAGGCCAGTTGCAAGCTTCGACGTGACGAGTCTTCCCAACGACAACTACGAGGACAGCGCTGTCCCCAGCACGACTATGAGCGGAGCCTATTCCAATGACTCTGACTTGAAGCACATATCCGATGAGCCAATTGAAGAGAGCCAGGGATGCTTCAAGGCTAAGGCCACTCTGAATCTAGAGAATCTACCAGCCGAGCTGAGAACTCAACTCCTCCTGAGCATGCCAGATCTGCCAACCCTGCGCGCGCTCATCCATGCTTCTCCCACAATCCACGCCCAGTATAGATACGACCGCGATAATGTGCTCTGGACTTGTCTAGAGCGCGAACTAAGTGGCTTCTTCATCGACGCCTACGCCAATCTGATGTCTCGGATGTGCGAGCTAGGGTCCCTGCGCACTGACGAGAAGATCACTAATTTTCTTGACACCTACCGGGGCTGGCTCTCCGGCGCAAGTCCGCTCCCAGATTTCCAGTCAATCGACTCTAGTCACATACATTGGATGGCGACGTACCACATATCGGTTGCTTGTCCTTTAGCTCGAATGTATAGCAGTTGGGCTCTCGAAAACATCAAGAAAACAATTTCATCGCCAGTCGCTCGAAATGGAACAGAAGCGCTACCAATCGCACAAGATAGTAGGGGCGTCAGCTTGAGCAGAAGCGAGGAAATCCGCATTTTCCGGGCTCTCCATCGGTATGAGACCTACCATCACCTCTTTGGCAGGAACAAGGGCAGACGCCACGGCGGATTCCGCCATCATGAAATCAATGAGATTTTCTTTTCTCAGTTCGAACCATGGGAGGCTGAGGCAGTCGGTTGCGTCGATATATTTATCAGACAGAAGTATAAAGTCATTTTCAGTGACGTGAAGGAAGATCTGCATCCTCAGAATGCGACTTCTAAACATCGAGGATCACGAAAAGCTTGTCTCCAAGATGCAGCGGTGCCTTACACATGACCAAAATTTAGATGCACCAGTGAGAACAGCTATCGGGTTAGCAGCGCAAAGTGACAGGCGCGAGATGTCAACCAGATTCCCTGACAAAAGAGACGAGGCTGAGCAAAGGCAGGACCCGATCCGATTCACAGGCGACACGGTGCCGCCTAACAGCCCGCCCTTAGCTTGGGTTCTCCTATGGGGTGGAAAGTATGCAAACATCTACGGAGAATACGTGCCAGAGCCGCTCAGGCGATGGGGCTACGTCATATGGGACAAAATTCGCTGGGATGGCATGGATGCAAAAGAGCTTATTGCGAGACAATGGGAAATGGAACCGGAGCTGGTTGAGGAGATTAAGATAGACCTCGGTTGGAGTCCTTTAAAAAGCCAAAGTGCGACTATAGAGTATGAGTGATAGCTGAGTACTAGAATAAGACATTAAATATAATATATATAATATTGTAAATTATTTCACGGCTAGTATTTTATAGCATGTAAGACTTTTAATAGCTTTAATATTATTATTTAGCCCAGTTATAATATAGACACCCGATTTATTATTACAGATTGCCAATATTGCTTTACAGTTTACTAAAATCTATTTTACTCTGCTTTAGTACTCAGGAATATAATTATAACAGAGCCCCTGTAACAGAGTTACAGGGCCTGTAAGACAAAGCCTTATAAGCTGCTGTAAAGGGAATACTAGCATAGGTTACTAGTGTAAGAATATAAGGGTATAGGGTAGCAATTTAATGATTTGGTTTAGAAGGTTATAATTGCAACTATCTTATAAAAGTTCTAATACAAATCAACCTGGAAATCCTTTTCCTTTTATCTTTATTTTTTGCTTATTAATAAAGAATGTAATAAAAAGTTTAATAGTATTAGAAAGCTTAAAATCAGGGCTTTCTACTAGTATAACTTATTTTTTCTAATTCCTTTTAGTTAATAAGTTATTAAATAGTCTTTATATAAGGTTTCAGGTGCATTCCTATTATTAGACCGGCGGGCGGCCTTCCGAGGCCTTCCAGGGCCTTCTAGGATCCCTGTTACCTTCCTTTACAGACTGCAAAAAGGTCAGTTTGTTGATTTTTGCTGTTTTCCTCGATTTCGTAAGGGTACCCCCTTATGCCTTAAAA